TTTTTCTTTAATCCAATGCTGGGCACCAAACCTAGCTCCCCCTACATGCTAGACAAGCGTTCTACCACTGAGCTCCTTCTCCAGCGCAAGGAGAAAGCCTTTGTAAATCAGGTGTAAATCTCACACCCAGCCCACCCCAACCCCAATGTGAGTCAACCCATGAACTACAGCTGTACAACCTCAGCAGTACATAGATCTCTTTCCCTAAACTACCCAGACACTGAGAAGGCACCCAATCCATCCTTAGAACACAGTTAACTATTGACACACCAATCCAAACCCCTGATTACCAAGCGATGTAATTTGTAGCCTGCTCCACTCACCACTGTGGTTTACAAATGTAAATGTAACCCTATGAACACATTTTCAAGATTGCTTGAATCTGCACCTTTCCAGATTGCACTCCTAATGTCAACATCTTTTTAGAAATTAGGGAGCTTAAAGGTCATTGGCAGGCTCTCCCTCATAGTCAGCTTGGGACCCCACTTCCTGTGTCCATAGAAACACTAATTTCAAGGAAGGGGAACACATGACATTTGTCACTCTTGACGATTTGACATCCCCATGGGAGAGGGAGGCTAGTGGAGGTTGTAGGGCTTTGCAGCCTACAACCTGTTTTATAACTAATTTTTTTTGCAGCTTGTTTTATAACTAATTTTATTTTTTTTTCTTCCTGGCAAAACAGGTTATTTTAATGTAAAATTTTTAAAAAAGTTTATGTTGATGAGTGTTTGCCTGTGTGTTTCTATGTGTTCATCATGTAAGCCTAGTGCCCTCTAGGGCACGGGAATAGGGTATCTGGTTCCCTGGAACTGCAGGTTACAGATGACTATGAGCGTCCATGTAGCAGCTGGGAACCAAACCTGGGTCCTCTGCAAGTGACCACTGAGCCATCTCTCTAGCTCAAAACAGGTTATTTTATAAATTTATTCTTTAATTCCTTTTAATCTGTTACATTTATTTTTTGGGGGACCATGGCTTTCTAGTAAGAAAACAAAGACATGTTATTGTCCCTTCTCTAAAGAGTTAATCCAAATCACCTGGACAGGAAAACTGCCCTTTAGGAAGGCTGGTCCAAAAACATCAATAAATACTATGAAGTCTCCTCAACATGTAGGTCAGCACAGTGGTCTCTCTGGTCATGAGATCCCCTCAAGAGTTCCCTCCACTAGTACTTTGGTCGACACTCCTTTTCTTGTGACTATTTCCTATTAACCTAAGGCAGAAGGAAAAAGCATGGGTTGGCTGTTTTAGTTGCAGTACATTATCTCTGTAAAACAATAACAACAAAAATTCCCATTATGGGATCAGGAAAATGGCTCAGTTTACTTTGCAAGAACAAGAACCCAAGTTTGCGTCCTCTGCACCCATTCGAAAGCCATGTGTAGTGGCATTCTTCTGTAAGGCCAGTGCTGGGGGAAGGAAAGCAGGAACAAGTAGGTCTCTGGGGCTTACTAACCGTTTATCCAGTCTGGCTAGTCTGTAAGATTCAGGTTCCATGAGAGACCCTGTCTCAAAACATAAGGTAAGAGAGTGATAGAGAGAGGTACCCCAAAGTCAGCCTCTGGCCTTCACATATATACAGACAAGCACACCAACACACACACACACACACACACACACACAAACACACAAACACACACACACACACACACACACACACGCACACACACACACACATATGAGCATACAGGCCCCTAAAACATTTGTACCATAAAAATTATGGCATTATAATATTGGGTAGTATGAATAAGTTTATCTTGTATAGTAACAAATAGGTGGCTTCCACCCTCTAGGCTACATAGTAAGAACCTTTCTCACCAACATCAACAAAGCAGCTTTCCCCTCTCACTACAGAACTAATCAGTCAGGCTTCTGACCATTTAAAACTATGAAGAGGTACTTGAAACATTAACAGTCCCCAACCATTTCCCCTCCAGAGACCATCACTCAACTTTTGAGTCTGTTTTCTTTTGGTTTGTTATCCCCCCCCCCAATACAACTCTTTGAATCTGGCAGACTTGAAGCCAACTGTAGAATAAATCTCTTGTGTACTGTAGGAATGCAACGCCTGTCAATTATAAAAACCTATGGCTGAGGCAGGAAATAGGTGGGACATCTGGCAGGCAGAGAAGGTTCTGGAGTAGAGACAGTAGAGCGAGATTCAGCAGGCAAGATGTGAGGAAGATGGACGTGTGGCATCTGAGCCCAGGCTACTGGCCAAACAGCAGAATGTAGATAAGAATAAATGGATTATTTCAAGTTATAAACTAGTCAGAGAAGAGCCTGACTAGATATACGGTCTAGGTATTTGTAAAACAATAATTTACTCTCATGAGTCGCTATTCCAGGAGCATAGGGCAGGAGGAAAAACATATTACAGCCTACTGCAAAATATACTGAGCCCCTGCCGATGAGCTAACTGGAGTCACTACCAATCATCACCTTTGCTTTCTCTGTGTGTGTTCACCTGACAGTGAATTAGCCGTCATGCTTGTCTCTAAAGCTCTCAACAGGTGTCTGAGAAGAGCAATGTTTCCCGGCATCATGACAGCACTAACATTTCACTCATAAAATCAATATTCACTTAAGATTTGTGCTTGTTTGTTTGTTTGTTTTAGTATTTTGGGCTCCTATTCATTTTCCTTTGACCTAATGTCTTGTCTCATCCTTGAAAATGGAAATGTCATCACTTGGTTCATCTTGTAGGTTGTCGTCGCAATAGGACTTTTCTCTGTCTCCTCCTCCTTCTACTTTTCCTAAAGGAAGCCCAAAGACATTTTTTTTTTAGAGTTTCAAGCAAACTGGCACAGATGAAATGAAAATCCTGGCAACCTCAGGAAGGAGATGACTTTTAAGTTAGGAACAGAGTAGGAACAAGAGACAGCTTCTTAAAGGAAAAAGCACTCCCAAGAACAGAAGGAGGATGATGAGTCCTGAAGCCCCTCCCCTGCTTAAAAATAGTGTTTGTTCTCTCATATATTACATTTTGACCACAATTTTCTCCCTCCTCTCCTCCCAGTTGCCCCCCAACCTCCCCTCTTGCCCAAATCTACTCCCCCGCTGTTTCTCTTCAGGGATATCAACCAAACATAGCCTAATGAGATGCTGTCAGACTAGGCACAGCCCCTCAGGTGAAGGCTGGACTAGGCAAACCAGTAGGAGGAAATGGCCCCCAGAGAGGCAAAAGCACCAGAGACAGACTCTACCCCCACTTTCAAGAGCCCCATAAGAATATCAAAGTACACAGTCACAGAGTATATGTAGACCCGTTTACCTAGGTCAGACCCATGCAGGCTCTCCCTCCAGTTCTTGTATCCAGTCTCTGTGAGCCCCTAGGAACCCTGGTTAGTTGATTCTGTGGGCCATGTTCTTGTGTGTGTTCTTGACCCTTCTGGTTCCGACAAACTTTCCTCCCCACCTTCTAGGGGATTTCCTGAGCTCTGCCTAATGTTTGGCTGTAGGTCTCTGCATTTGCTCCTATAAGTTGCTGGATGAAGCCTCTCTGGTGACAGTTACGCCAGGCTCCAGCCTGTGACTATCACTAGGAATCATTTCACTGCCCTTTTTTTTCCAGTCATGTTTCCATTCCCCTACTTTAAGAGTATGTAAGATTGCTACTAAAGACCATGAAAACATTCTTCTTTCAATAGATTTTGCCTAATGAGTTTAGCATCCGTTGTTCTTTTTGTCTATACCAATTATTTCCGTGATATAAATAAAGCTAACAGCTTTTTCACTCCATCCTCCCCATTCTTTTTTTTTTTTTAGAAAGGTTTCATTTGATTATTTCTTAAAGCTCCCCCCTCCCCCCCCAAAAAAAAAAAACAAAAGAAAAAGAAATAAAGTGTTGGCATTGACTCATGCATTTGGGTTTTGGTTACTACTTGATACTGCATTGTTGTTTTTAATTTTTGAGATTATAACAAAAATCCATCACTCCTGCCTTCCTTTTCCTCTCCCCCACCAAGTCCTTGCACGCACCACTTCTTGCTCTCTCCCAAATCCGCAGCCTTTTAAAAGTTAATTGTTACTACGTATGTGCATACGTAGATACTTCTACACACAGCCTGCTCGGTCTGCAAGTCACCTGTGCGCATGTTTTCAGGGTGATACTGCGTTCCGGAACCCTCATCCCGCCCTGCTGAAATGTGCGATGTCCCTGACCTGCCACTGACCTCCTACCCCAGCCACGTCACTCCAATCATTAACCTCCAAGTTCAAATTTCCACATACATTGCGGTCAGGAAGTCACCACAAACTGTAGCTATGTATTTTTGCTTTTATTCTTTTAGCATTCATGTTTATTTACTCATTTTAACTGACAGACAAAAATTGTGTGTATTTATGGTGGACAGCACGTTTTGATACCTGTGTGCATTCTGGCATAGCTAAACCAAGGTCAACTGGCATATTATAAATACCTCACCTCCTTTTTTTTTTTTTTTTTTCATGGTGAGAACTCATAACATCCACTCGCGTTTTAAAGTGTGCGCTACACAGTTACTAACCACGCCGCCCATTTTGCACAGCAGATCTGAACCGCGCAGCATCCCGTCGGTCTCTGACTTTTACTTTATAGCACAAAATGGTCCAAGCTTTGGGCTTTCTCTACCCCGGCCCTGGAATCGGCCATTTCTCCCATTTAGTCTCAGCAGGAAATGATATTTAAAACTCAGACCTGAGCCATGGTCGAACTCATTGCTTATGAAATGTCATTACTTCTAGACTTTTTGCGGAACACACACACAAGCACACAAAATACAGGAAATATATACACAAATCAGCAAAAGCTTCTGTTTTCTTACCCGTCTCCCACAAGTGCCTCCTCCAGAATCCTGTTACAAGCACAAATGATCCCTTATCTGCCCACGCTCCTTAAAGATAATTATGTACACGCAGCTGCGCGGGCCAAAAACGCACTCTTTGTCCTCCAGCCGTCCAGCTTTGGCTGCAGGAGAGCAAAGCGCTGTCGCTGTCGGGGGCGGGGGGGTTGGGGTTAGTTCGGGGAGATGCTCGGACCGGGCCTTGAGGTCATGGCAGGGCCTCTTCATCAGCCCAGGCGGGGTCCAAGGGCTCATAGGGCTGTAGCCAGTTGTCAACGTCGTTCTCTTCCAGGACCCGTGGCCCTCTAACCGGCAAAGAGCAGATGGTCAGGGGGTCCGGGTGTTCGCTGCCATCGTGGGCCCGGGGCCTGAAGTAGGCGCAGAGCGCCCCCGAGAACGCGTCGGCGAAGGTGAAGATGTGCGAGCCGTCGGACGCGTTGAAGAAGGACAGCTTCCCCGCCTCGTAGTCCAGCAGGATGCCCACCCTCCGGGGAGGCACGCGCGGCGACAGCGCCACTCGCTGCGGGTCTAACACGAAGTACTCGCAGCCGTTCCAAAGCCCCATCACCCAGTAGCCCGCCGCGGGGCCGAGGCGCGCGGGCCCCGAGCGCTCCACCGACTCCAGGCAGGCGCCCAGGAACCAGCGGCTGCGCCGGCCCACGTTCACCTCCCAGTAGTGGCGGCCGCTAGGAAAGCGCTCCCGGCTCAGCACGCACGTCTGCTCCGAGAAACGCTGCGGGTCGCCCGCCGCGGTGCTGGCCTCCCCCGGGCGGGAGGACACGCTCTTGCGGTCCTTGGAGACCTCCAGGCTAGGGTGGGCCGTGGCGGGATCCAAGGTCACGTCCACTGAGCAGAAACGTAGGGTTAGTGCTGGAGGAGAAAGGTTCGGGAGCCTCCCCTTCTCTGCCCTCCATTCTTCTCCTATCTACTCTCCCGCTCTCTCCTCTCTTTTTTTCATTTCCCCTCTCCTCTTCTCCCGGTTGGAACAACTGCGGGAATTGTAACACTTCTTCACCCCCCCACGCCTCCCTTCTCTCCTCCCCCGTCAACCATCCCTCTTCCCAGAGCGGAATGCAGACCATTCTTTTCATAACGGGAAAGTTCCTAAATCCCATTGAGTTCCTAAATGGTTCATGGGTAGATTCACTAGGATGGCGCCAGGCCTTGAGCAATGAATGAGGAGATAGGTGTTTGCAGCTTGATTCCACTGGTCCCACCACCCTGTCTGAACATCAGTGTTGTGTCTCCACTTTTCAACAACTTTAGCACTCTTAAAATTACAGGGAACCTCTGAGATCACCTAATCCAGTGACCAGCACTTCAACACCCATGCCCCAAACACATCCACCTGATTGTTGAGAAATTGGAGGATACTCACCCACCTACCCGCCCATCCGTTTCTTGAGACAAGTTTTCCCTATATAGCCTAGGTTGATGCTTCTGCCAAGCACTGGGATTTCAGATAGGTATCATTATGACTGCCTGAGGAGCCCTTCTGTGGAATGATCTGAGAGGTTCCTGTCAGACTCTGCCCTTTTCTCCAGCAAACAGATCCCAGAAGCAGCCCGCCTGCCCTTAGGAAACGAACCTAGTAAACCCCAGGAAGCAGGGCCCATGTATGAACAGCTGGGTATGGAACATGTGCGCACATGTGACCGTTATGCGGCATGCTATATGTATAATGTGTTCATTTCTAGGATATGGACCTGGCTCCTGGAAAAACCCTTCCTCTGGCTTCACACCCCTCCCCATTCCTTCTGCGCAAGACCCAACCCCTCACATTCGGCAGCGTCAGTTACTTACCTGCGTATTGCTGGGCTGCTCTCCACTCTGAAACCAGAGAGAGAGGAGAAGGGGCTCAGAGAGCTACTCAGGGATCCCAAGGGTGGCTTGCCTTGCTCACGAGCTGTCCACAAACTAAGTGACCTCATCCCGCAGCTCTGGCTTTGATTGCACAGCGATCTAATGGGCAGTGCTGGCTTCTACCAAAGCGGTGTGAAACCTCAAGATACACTGGGAAGATGGAACACAGGGGCAAGGAACTTGGGTGCCCTAAAGCATGGAAATAAAACTTATCTCTGCCCCGCTGAGCTGGCCTCTGTTCTAAAGTGCCTTCCCTCCCCACCTCTTCTTTTAGGGTGGACCATTTCGCTTGTTCTGCTTTGGAACAAAGGGTTGATCCAAAACAACAGAAGGCACTTTTCAGAGCATTGGGGATGGGGTGGGGTTTAACCCTGCACCCAATCAGAACGCCCAGTGGAATTGTAATGCTACACAGCTCTTCTTACATGGAACAGCTCAGTTCTAGCAACATGTTGGTTCAATGTTAGTTTGCCTATAAATTTTAAAACCATTTGTCTAAGTGAGGTTGAGGATGTTTAAAGGAACTGTGTAAATTTATATTTTTAAAGGTTCATTAGCTTTAAAAGGGAAGTAGATACAGGGAAGGAAAAGCTGAACTTCCTGAGGCTATAAAAGCCGTAATAGTGAAAGCAAGCAAGCGGGAAGGTGAGCCCGTCTGGACTGAATATGCACTGAAGTTGAAACCTTGCCTCACGGGGGAAATGTGGCATTGAGAAGTCCCATTCAGTGCACACTGACAAATCAGTGGACTCTTACCTCACAGCCAGCCTGTGGGGGAATTCTGCAGGATTAATGACGTATACATGAAACATGTTTCAGTTTGGACCTGAAACATTCTCATGGCCCTGAGATAAAGGCTTAGTCCTCAGCTCTGCACTATGTGGACTCTTTAAGAGGGGCAGCCAAGTTGAAAGCCTTCTGGCATTCTGCGGAGTATTGAGACTCTGGCCTCTCCTTGTTCTCTCCTTGCTTCCTGCCTACCACGAGGCAAGCAGCAGCTTCCACCACAGTTCCCAACTCCCTGCTGCCATGTGCTGCCTTCCCACAGGCCCAAGTGGCCTGTGAGACTGTGACCTTTGCTCATTGTAAGTTGACTCCATCAGGAGTTATGTGACACTAATAGAAAGCTGAGAAATGCACTACGGATTAATAAAATAAATTATAAGACAGTATTTTTCTGGCATCCTTAGCAAAGATTTTCAACAGAAGTTCAGGAGCATAAGCCATATGGTAAAAGTTTGATTAATTAAAACTTTAACAAGGGGCTGGAGAGACAGCTTGGTGGTTAAGAGTGCTGTCTGCTGTTCCAAAGGACCTCGGTTCAATTCCTAGCACCCACATGGCAGCTCACAACTGTCTGTAATGCCAATTCCAAGGGATCTGACACCCTCACACTAATGCACATAAAATAAATATTAAATAAATTATTAAAAAATAACCTTTATCGATCCTTCTTCAAGTAACGATCCCTCTTTAAGCCTAAGGGGAATGTGGACAGCAAATGACATAGTAGCAAAAGGAATCCATTGTTTAATGTCAATAATATATGTATACATATTAATAAGGATATATATGTATGCCTATTTAACATATCAAAACCAACTTGGCTACCAGGTTCTCCCAGCATCCCTCAGTCCCTACCTTTCACAGGGTATGGCTGGATTATCCCACCCCGTACCCTAAACTTCTCCATCCCTTCCCTCAGCTGCCCTTCCCTATACAATCCAACCATTTTGGTTACCAGCTTTCTTTGGGACCTCCTGGTTGCTGTACCTGGTTCCTCTCTCTCCACATCTCTCTTTTCCCCTGGTCCTCACATGGCTCAGAGTCATGTCCACTCTGGACTCTCCCAGATGCCCCTGCCTCTGACTACCCTCTCCCTTTTATCTAAGTCATGTCCTTTCCTTTCTTTCTTTTTTTTTTTTTTCATTCATCTCGTGCCAAAACCCAGGACCAGTCATATCTTTTTATTTATTTACTTTTCACTCATTAAGGTTAAGCAGGATTGGAAACAATGTAGCCTTGGGGCAATGAATATAAATATAAAAGTGAAGCATGGGTCTGACTTCTACCAAGTAAAATATACGCACAGCACATGAAGCATATGAAGCACCAGAGAAACTGTGATGCTGTAAGGACGGAGAGTAGCTGGCTAATGAGAACTTGACTCACGTTTTTGGGTGGTTTTCGTTTGTTTGTTTGACTTTACAATGCTTGTGGAAGCCACATGTATTCATTAGAAACCATGCTTAAAATTTTGATATTTCTCAGGCTGCTGATAGGTGCTGTGTTACTCTATGGTGATGCTGGGAAGCCACAGTGAGTCATAGCCTAAGCCACATGCTCAGAAGGTCCCCACCCAAAACGCCTGCACTGTGTTGCTCACCTGTAATGTTTGGTAGTTATATCACAGGTAGCTATATCAAATGCATTTCCACCTTAGGACATTTTCAGTTTACAGTAGGTTTAGAAGGTTGGGATTTCATCACAGAAGTCAGGGAGCCCAGTGATAAACAGTGGAGGAGAAATGGGCTTTACTCACCTGCTTGGCCTTCGGACCTTCTCCAGTCTGAAGCAGTAAACAAACAAAGAAAGAAACAAAAAAGGGAATTAGAAAGTCAGGACCCCACAGCACACTTTGTGCCACAGGTGTCTAATTCTCCCTTCCTCACCACCCACAATTCCAGCCTGGTGTCATACTTCGTAGGGACATGTGAGGGTATATAAACAACCAGGTGCAAACAGGGGACAGGAAGGAACGGTTCTGAGGGGGGGGGAGGGCACTTACCAAGCTCTGCCTGAAGTTTCTCTGCAAGCAAAACAGAGGAGCATCAACCTTCCAATACAAACACATCCCCTAATCTCAAACCACTCCTGACTGCAACTCTGTCCTCCATGTCACCTTGCCCTGTAGAATGAGGCTCACCTCATCATTCCAGGGTCTTTATTCTAGCTCCATTTCAGAGGAAGAAACCAATAGGCACTGGGACAGGGAGGGAAAACAAGCTTGTTTCTAAAGGGTTTCTTCCCAAGGTTCCAACCTGGTTGGAGAAAGGTTCATTCTTTCTGAAACCACAAGATTTTCCTGATGTGTGTGGTTTTTTTTTTGGGGGGGAGGGGGGTCACAGAAACCCATGAATAAGCCCAGGCACAGCCTATGTGGCTCTTGAGGTCATTTGCTGAATACTTCATTTAAAGATAAGAAGGCTATCACAATTATTTGTTTGTTTGTTTTATTTTGCCCCTAGAACACACTCCTCTCGTCTCTCCACCTCCCGTGCTCTTTAGAAGCAATCCACATACTAATTCAGGCTGTGATGTTGATGACTCGTTGCAGTGGTCTTGTTGGGTAGGATTGGGTGGACGGTAAGACAGAGCTCTCTACCCGTCTCGTTTGTCAGGACAGGGCAGTCAAATTGTGGTTCTCTGGGTCTTCATTCTAACTATGGGGGCCTTCTCCATCTCTCCTTTATTAGGCGTCACTCCTCCTCCTTTTTTTTTTTTTGACACAGAGTATGTAGCATATATGTGCTGTGTAGCATGGCCTGAAAGTTGCCAAGCCTCTTGGGTCTGCCTCCCTAGTGGAATGCTGGCATTGCCAGCCTTCGCCACGGTGCCTTCCTTTGCACAGCCCTCTGCTACACCACACCCCTCCATGGGTTAGGTTGGTGTGTTCCAATGAGAGGAAAAGTAATTTAACAGCATATTCCCAACTTACCACAAGTTCAGGGGTCATTCTTTACAGTGGCATTTGAGGTAAAAGAGAAAGATCTATTCCAGGAAGGTGAACTAGAGGGAGTAAACACTCCAGCAGGGCATGTTCAGACATTCTCCCGTGGGATGAGCTCTGAAGTGGGGCACCCATAGGCAGCCCAGCCCAGTCCGACTGAGGGAGGAGAGGAGCACAAGGATGGATGGAGAACCAGATGGGTGTCACCTTTCTCTTCCTCAGAGGAGCCTAGTCACTTGACTGCCCTTTTCTGCTCCAGAGGTGGCCAGTTAAGCCCACTTGTCCTGCAGCCTGCCCTGCGGTGAGGAACCCAGCACTTACCCAACCGTGCAGTCAGTCTTCCTGGAGACAGAAGGAAAAAGGGTGTTCTCAGAGTGGGGGACGGCCAGACAAGACGCACTATGAACATAGGGCCCTCCCCACAAGGTGTGCACCTGGGAGCCAGCCCGGGTGCCTGGACACAGTCAGCAGGAGCAAAACCAGTACTTCTCTCCGCCTTGCTAGTTCTGGGTGCCCCCTCCCACTCCTCAAGGACTGCTCGGGATGGGGGGGGGCAGAGGACACCTCCCCTGGCTTACCTCGGTCCTTCTCTCCCTGCTCCATCAGCTTTTCTGAAAGGAAGAATGGATGGGAAGAGCTCAGTAGTGCTTGTGTGTGTCAAGAGCTAGTTTCAGTCTGGGTTGCCTTCTGCCTCTGTGTCCCCCCTCATCCTCTCCCCTCCCACTTTCCTATTGAGGGGCTGGAGTTAGACTCTCCTTTCCAGTAGGCAGACAGGGAGAGGGACCACGCTAGGTAACAGGTGGCAAATTTCCAAAGCGACCAGCTTCTTCCTCAACCTCCTGACTTGAGACAAGTTCAAGGCCTGATTAGGATACTGTCACACAATAGTTGCAGACCAATCAACCATCCTGTCTGTGCTCAGACTGACCAGCCCTAGAGTAGGGGAGGAAAATTGGCAGAAAGCCCAGCCCTCTGGAAGAGAACATATGTTTTCCCTCCTTAGCTCCACGGAGGGTCTTTTTCTCTGAGTGTTTTTTGCCTGAGTGTGTTTCTTTACCCCTTTCAGCTGCCAATTCTGTCTGCAGTGGTTGAGGTTTCTCTGCTGCTGCCTCTTGTGCTTCAGGTTTCTCTTTCCTGCCTTTTAGTTCTTTAACTGTCAGAGAAAATGAACCTGGCCCAGACCCTCAGACTGTACCACTGTGGAGAAACTCCAGCTCTGGGCCTGCTCATACCTTGGGTGAGCCGCTGCTTGTAGAAGTACTGCAGCGCCAGCATTGTGAGCACAGCCAGACTGAGCGGCAGGACCACCAGGGTTCCCAGGAATGCCTTCTTCCAGGGGGATGGTCTGGGTAGGAACACATCTGCAAAACAGGCCACACAGCCTTAGTTGTGTTGACTCAGGTCCCACTGACCACTGAAACAAGACCATCTTGGACCCCACTTCACAGAAAGTCTGCAGTGGCCTTAGGGCAGTCAGTTACAAGCTCAGTGGGAGCTTCTATGGCCAGTATGAACTAGACATGAAGGCAGCTGCAGAGCCTTCATTCCCAGTAGGATCAGGTTCAATGGCAGAACTCACTAGTGTGGCAGAAGCGAAGGCTGTGAACTGAAGATAAATGTTAGGGCCTGGAAGGGGAGATGACAGCCAGCCCTAACCTGATGGCATTGTGCTTTCGCCTGCCCCAAACGAACTGCTCTATCCCAGTCATTAGAGTGCCAAGATCTAAGTAATAATTTATACAGGCCCCCGCGATGACTAGAGAGACGTAAATGGAGCCAGGCATCCCTTAAGGGCCGCTGACCTTTTGTTCTGGAATGCCAGGGAGAACCCAGTGGCCTGCAGGCGAGGTAAGATAAGGCGGGATAACGGGCTGCCAGGCACTAACTGCCTTTGCTTCTATAAAGCTCCACAGCCCTATGGGAGAGGGGTGAAACGGTCTTTTTATTACTATATAACAGGAAAGTAAAAAACAACTTCAGGAAGTAAAACATTTGCAGCTGTGGACTCCACGGAGAGTTGTAATACACACCTTTTTGATGTCTGCCCTTAAAACCGAATCTTCGTCACCCCCTCACCTCTGCCCACTTTCTCACAGCATGCTCTTTGGCTCTAAGGCTGCTAGCCGTAAGAATTAATTCATTTAATGTAAATTTAAATCGAGTCTAAGTCTCTGTTTTCCCCCAGTGGATTCGGATGCCACCACAGTGGCTGCTCTTCCCCTCATCACCACTTACAAGTGGCCAACCACAGCTCCACTTCTCCAGCTCTGATCCTACACTTGAATGAACCCTGTATCCAAAGTGTTTTGTTTTTGAAAAACAGGGAGTTCTTCTACCTGGCTGGGGAGTGCGCAGATCTCAGTTCTCACACCACTGGGGGAATTCCAACAAAGCCAATAGTTGCTTAGCCACGGCAGCAACCCAAAGAAGCCCTGTGCTGGCTTAAATGAAAATGGCCACCATAACGCCAACCACGCCTCAAAACCTTCTGCCTACATTGCATCCTGCCTACAAGTTGTGCTGTGGTAAAGGTGGCACAGAAATTGGGGGAGTAAACCAATGACTGGTCCAGCTAGAGACCCATGAGAGGGAGCCCTCCCCTGACACTGTCTGGAGGGCCAGGAACCAGTGGCCAGATAGCCCAGACACCTAGGAGAGAACCAAACATGACTGGCAAGGAAAAAAAAAAGTCAGTGAAATGAGTCCTAACGATAGTCTGCCCTACTCATAGATAGCACCCTAACATAACCAAGAGGCTCTATCTAGCAACTGATGGAAACAGATTTAGGGACCCACAGCCAAACATTAAGAACTTGGGAAATGCCCAGGAAGAGGGGAAGGAAGGTTTATAGGAGCCAGAGGGCCAAGGATATCACAAGAAAACCCACAGAATCAACTAACCTGGGCCCATCAAAGCTCCCAGAGACTGAACAACCAATCATGAAGTTTTCATAGGACTGACCTAGGCCCTCTGCATATATGCTGTGATCCTGTAGCTTGCTCTTCCTGTGGGACTCCTAACAGGAAGAGCGGGAGCTGTCTCTGACTCTTTTGCCTGCTTTGGGACCCTTTTCCTCCCACTGGTTTACCTCATCCGGCCTTAATATGAGGGGAGGTGCCTAGTCTTATTGCAACTTGAGGTGTTCAGTGGACAACCTGGGGTAATGAGAACTTTCTGGAAATGGACACTGATGATAGGTACACAGCAGGAGCCTAGTATAATCATCATCAGAGAGGCTCCACCCAGCAACTGATGGAAACAGATGCAGAGACCCACAGCCAGACATTAGATAGAGCTCGGGAAATCCCCTGGAAGAGGAGGCGAGAGGGGAAACTGAAGTTGGGTTGTAATATATGAGAGAGGTATAAATAGACAACTAAAATAAAAAATGACCCCCGTAGGCTTATTTGGAGTAGCATTAATGGAGGTATGACCTTTGTGGAGGAAGTGTGTCACTGGGAATGAGCTTTGAGGTTTCTGAAGCTCAAGTCAGTCCAGTGTCTGTCTGTCTGTCTGTCTGTCTGTCTCTCTCTCTCTCTCTCTCTCTCTCTCTCTCTCTCTCTTCCCTGCTGTCTTCAGATGTAGAACTCCCAGCTCCTCCAGCACCATGTCTGGCTGTGCTCGACCATGCTTCCTGCCGTGAGGATACAGACTAAACTCGGACACTGTAAGCCAGCCCCAACTAAATGTTTCCCTTCATACAGCAATAAAACCCTAACTAAAGCAAGCCCCAAGGGCAGGATGCAGCTTGGCTCTGTATGTAGCCCAGGGCAGCCCGCACAGTGGCCAGAAGATGAAAAGATGAGACAAAACTAGAGCATAACTAGAGCAGACAAAACTAGAGCAGAAAACACGTGTCATTGATACTTTTGTGTCCCTGTGACCTAATCATTCAAAGCTAATGCCTTATCTTTGAGGGGTGTTTCTCTTAAAAATATTTTTAACCTTTAAAAACTATGGTAAGTTAAGGCTGAGATTGCTTAGTGGTTAAGAGCCCTGAATGTTCTTCTGGGCTCTTATATGAGTCATAGGCACTGTACCCAGGAGCCACACCCCAGCCCTCATCTTAGCCATGCTGTTCGGTTGAGTAACATTAAGTACACCCTCACTGTGGTGTACCTATCATGAGTGTCTATTTCCAGAAAGTTTTCATTGTCCCAGGCTGTCCACTGAACACCGCATTCACGTTTGGCCTCTAGGCTCTTCATAACCACAATTACACTCTGTCTATATGAACTCGATTATTCTGGGTACTTATGTAAGTGAAGTCACATAGTGTTTTGTCCCAATGCACAGGGAGCTTTCTGATTAGAAAGACGAATGTGAGTCAGTGCCTACTGACTCTGGTTTGGTTCTGGTTTATTTTGCTTAGCAGTTTTGGTCTTTTTTGAAATGTTAGTGTTCTAGAACTCTGTTTTTACTGTCTTGTATGAAAGTGTCAGACACACCGGATTTATCTTTTACATACAGCTTTTACCGTGCAACCTGCTGTCTCCTTGTCTTGGTGGCTAGATGTAGGCCCTCCATTCCAGCCCCTGTGGTCTCTCTACCTGATAACTGTTAACAGTGGTGGACATATGAAAGTATGTACAGCTCTAAAGGTCTACATATGTGAGCTTAATAATAGACTATAAATGATATAAATTTAGATACATACAGATCTAGAAAGGAAACCCAAGAAGAAAGAAAGCAGAAAATCCAAGTTTTTCCTGGTACTAAAAGAAATTCATAGCTCTAAGGTTCGCTTTAGGAAACTTTTTGTAAATTCTTTATTCCTTTGAGAGGCAAGTAAGTCTATTTGAAAGCTGAACAAGCTTGATAGCTTTATAACCTACGACTGTTGTTCTTCAGGACTATCTAGTTGGCCTGCAAATATCAAGAGCAAGATACCCACATCCCTGTGTTCTTTGGGAATTTAACTTTAGGTCCATCTCCAGGTCGTAACTTCATGCTTGCCTTAATTTCCTTTTAGATAAAGAGAGCTAGCACAGATTCCTCTCATTACCTAGTTACCAGAGGAATTTAGAATAACTGTGAATGACAAATGACACAGTCAAGCCATCCTATTTAAGGGCAAGTTCCAGTCTGTCTTGAGGTCGGGTGTGCAGTGGTTGTATCTGCCTGATACAAAGGAAGATGGTGCTTTCTGTTATAACTATTAATTTGGACTTATGGAAAAATAACTCATAGGTCTGACTTGTCTTCAGTGCTTAAAACATTAAAGACATTGAGAGCTTGAGAGATGGCTCAGCAGTTAAGAACACTTGCTGCTATTCCGAAAGAACTACATCTGCTTCTCAGCACACGAGTGAAGGCCCAGAACCATGTGTAACTCCAATTCCAGGGCCTCTGGTGACCTCTTCTGGCCTCTGAGGGCACCAGGCACTCAAGTGGTGTGCAGAACCACATGCAGGCAAAACACCCATGCTCAGAAAATAAAATTAAAATTAAAACAATAGACTTTGAAACCAAGCAATGGTTGAAATTTCAACCCTGAGTCACTTTTTTGTAACCCAGCGATATGTGATGTTACTCCCAGGCGCCGCTCTCTGCTTCTCAGTTCTCTTTAGCACTACTGCCTCCTCAGGCATGGTATTATTTGCTCACTTTGTCATCAGAACCCCTCACTGGGATGGGAGCCAGAGGGCAGGGATTGGGGCTCTACAAATGGTGGTTTGAGGGGTGATGTTAGGAACAGATGAGAGCCCATCCTGGTCTCTATGTGCTTGGTGAGTGGCCTTTGATCTAGAAATGTTGCTCCCCTGGGTCTTCTTACCCACTACTTGGTCATCAGCTGCCCTCTCAGAGAATTACTCTTAGCCAAATAGATTCAGGTTTCAAAGTCAACCCATCCCACACTCAGCCAAGGCCTCAGAATCCTTGTGTCCTCACAGACCACCTCTGGATCAATCAAAACAGAACTTCTGATGATTAGGATGTGTGTGAGCCAGTGACTACTGACTGACCTGCAATCTGGAGCACAAACTCTTTCTTCTGGGCCAGCAAGGGGTTCTGGATTGTACAAGACACATTGCTGTGAGTCCCTTCCCGGACAATCACAGATGTCTCCAGACTGAACAGGCCCTGGGCATTCTTGACTATGGCTTCAGACTCTGGAGGAAGGCACTGATCCTGGGGGTCTCTCCACTGAACCTTCGGCTTGGGGTACCAGCCACTGGAACTGCACTGCAGCTGAATGCCTCCTTCGACGAAGCCCTTAAGGGAGATGTGTGGGTCTGAGCCCAGCCCTGGGAAAGCAGAACTTGGAAAGGTCATTCTCACTTCTAGAAGCTATGCATGACATTTATGGCACTGTTCACCATCTGAGGTCACCATAAGGGGTCAGGGATTATGACTGTTCTTAACACATATGTGAGCTTGCAGTCCTCCAACTCTGAACTGCCCATGACAGTTTGGACTAGGCAGGGAGATAAGGAAATATGCAGAGGAGGGCTATGTGTATTTAGTTATACTGTACAATACATGATTCCAATACAATGAAGAATTGTCTCACCCAGAATTCCAGTAGATTTTTCTCCATTATTTCTCACTAGATCTCAAATGCCTATGGCATATGCAGTTCTTTCACAGTCAAATAGAGCTAGCTCTGTTATCTATCTCGCTATCATGTGTCATTAATCATCAACACAAAACCAGATGTATTAAATTTGCTAGAGGAGAAAGTGAGTAAGAGCCTTGAATTCATTGGCGTAGGAGACAACTTCCTGAACAGAACACCAATAGCTCAGGCTCTAAGACCAACAATGAATAAATGGGACCTCGTGAAACTGAAAAGCTTCTCTAAAGCAAAGGACACTATCAATAGAACCGAACGGCAGTCTACAGATTGGGAAAAGACCTTTACCAAGCCTACATAGACCTTGTTGCTTTTTGATCTCTTCTTCCCTGTGGGACTTCACTACCAGGCCTTAGGGGAGGAAGACAAACTCAGTCTTCACAGGAATAAAACAGCTCTGTCGGTGTCTGGGTGGGTGGGTGGAGTCCCCTATTGTGAAGAATAGGGGAGAGGGAATAAGGGAAGGAGGGTGGGACTGGGAGGAAGAGGGAGGGGCCTATGACCGAGATGTAAATTGAATAAAAATGGGGGGAAAGGGGAGTACAGTTTTTGTGAGTAGTCAACCATGGGGTGGGCTTTTCTATAATGCCATTACATCTGTGTCATCCCTGTTCCTGTCAGTAGCCCCTCACGCATACAGCTATAAAAACTAAATGGCTCACACATACAAAAAGGTTTTCTCTCGCTCACCCCGCCCCTGTCCCGCCCCCCCCCACCCCCACCCCCCCGGCCCCTGCTACTGGGAATAGAATCGTACCCAGCCTGTGCTAGGCAAGCACTAGACCTCTAAAATATCCCTTTATGCCTCACTCAACATCTTAACACATTGAGTTTGTCTGCTTGATTGTTTGTTGTTTGTTTGTTTGTTTGTTTTCCATCTGCAGGATTCTCCGTCCGATTCTGTCTCCTTGAGTACACAGCAGCTCTACCCAATCCGATCCTTTTCACCTTCTCTCTGCTCCTGGCTGGCTCCTGGCTCCGGAACGTACCTGCTACTTCCAGCTCCCACGTAGCTTCACCAGAGAAGTCTTCGGAAAGAAAGTGGCACCCGTACCGGCCCTCGTCGGAGGGAACCACGCTGAGGATGTGCAGGTTCACGCTGCCATCCGCAATGTCGTTGGCTTCGAATACGGTCCTGTTGCGGAACTGCGCCATCTGCGGGCTGGAGAGACCCTGGGGCTCCTGGTACAGGTACACCACGTCGGAGGCCTGGGTCCTGAACCAGCGGATCTCCATGTGCTCTGCGTCCCGGTACGGTGACAAGTGGCAGGGGAACTCCACTGCTTCCCCAACGAGGGCCAAAATGGATTCTCCAGGGCCCAGCACCTTGACCTCCTCTAGGACAACAGCCCAAAACAATGGCAAAGATCAACCCACTTCAAACGTAATTTTTTAAAAGCCACTTCCTTTTTTAAATTTTTTATTTTTATATTAATTACAGTTTATTCATTTTGTATCCCAGCTACAGCCCCCCCTCATTCCCACCCAACCCCACCCTCCCCCCTTCCTTTTCATCCATCCCCCTTCCCCAGTCCACTGATAGGGAAGGTCCTCCTTCCCTTCCTTCTGACCCTAGTCTATCATCAGGAGTGGCTGCATTGTCTTCCTCTGTGGCCTGGCAAAGCTGCACCCCTCTTAGGGGGAGGTGATCAAAGAGCCAGCCACTGGGTTCATGTCAGAGACAGTCCCTGTTCCCCTTACTAGGGAACCCACTTGGATATTGAGCTGCCATGGGCTACATCTGTGCAGGGGTTCTAGGTTATCTCCATAAATGGTCTTTGGTTGGAGTATCAGTCTCAGAAAAGACCCCAGTGCCCAGATTTTTTAGCTCTGTTGCCACTTCCTTTTGTAGATCAGAAATCTACACTAAACTATTCAAAATAACAAAGAAGAGATGCCCTCCAAGAATAAGTTGTGTGGTTTCCTTGAGAAGAAATTGTCACGAAAAAACCCAGAGTATGAATCAAAATACCCGTGTACACACATTACAACCAGGTGCTCTGTGCAGGACTGGACTAGTTATTCGTTTGAATCAATCAAGAATAGATGCTATTTAGATGTGTAAATATGGTCAGAGGAACATACTAAATTCAACGCGTGAGACCAGAAAATGATATGATATGCCTATGATATAAAAGAGAGAACTGCATGTTTGGGTAAGGGCACCAAGAGAAAGATCTTGAAAGACAGAAGTCATACGGCTCATAGCAGTGGTTTCTCTTATTCTGTCCATGATAAACACCATGACCAAAATGTAACCTGAGGAGGAAAGGTTCACCTTACAGGCAAGACAGGGCAGGGACTCCAGACAAGAACCTGGAGGCAGGAACTGAAGCAAGGACCATGGAGGAATGCTGCCTGCCGTCTTGTTCTCTGTGGATTGCTCAGCCTGCTTTCTTACGGACCCCACGACAACCTGCCCAGGGTGTATAAACACACAAAGGGCTGGGCCCTTCTGTGTCAGTTACTAATTTTAAAATGCCACAGGCTTGCGTGCAGGTCGATCCTGTAGAGACATTTTCTCAAGTGTGCTTCCCTCCACTGAGATATCTCTGAGTTGTGTCAAACCGACAGTAAAGCAGCCAGGGGAGGCAGTTCTCACAGTGTGTATCAATAGAGCACACATGTACAGCATCCATAAAAATGTGTAAAAACACGATCTATAGTTATCTCTGCCCTTTTTACTTTAGTACCTAAATGCCTAGTGAATCCTGCTGTTAAGAGACCTTTCATGATCTTTCTTTCAATCATTTTTTCTTCTTTCATAGTGTCACCAAGTGGTCCCTCTGCTATCCTCAAATTAGTCTCTTTCCAAATTCAGCTAAAACTTCTTCCTCAAACTCAAACACCCTAAATCTCTTTCGTCATCCTTTGCTTTGCCCATAGATTGTGGAAGGTTCTTGCTTTGTGTCATTTTGGACAAAATATCTTGCCTCCTGGATGAATCCCGGTCAACCCATCGTTTTCCTACTAGGTTCCCTCTCTAGGGCTTCTTCAACTGTCTTTCTCACACATCTGAGATCTCTCTGGCTCCCCCACCCCCTCTCCACTGTCTCATTTTTATCCTCCATCTAGTTTCTTCCCAGGGAATGTGTACTTTGCAAGGCTTTCCAGAGAAAGCCTTTTCCAAGCCTTTGCAAGTGCTTGTCTTTGCTCCTGGGAAGTGTATATGGGAAACCATCAAGTGGTGTGGTCCTTTAACAACTGGTACAGAAGCAGCGAATGGTAGAATGGAACTGTAATCCCAGCACCGGGGTGGGGGGGGGGGGGGGGGGGGGGGGGGGGGGGTGAGGTAAGAGGAATTTGAGTTCCAGGCCACCCTAGGCTGCAGAGCAAGAACTTGTCTGGAAAGCAAAACAACAAAATAGTAACAAAAAGCAAATAAAAATAAACCAACCAAAAAAACCAAAAATCCAATACCGTGCATAAGGATATGTTTGCATTTTAGCAATTAGTGTGGTCTGGGGCTGTGTTAAAAGGGCCCACTCCTACCGGGCACCTCCGGAGATAAGGGCAGAGTTTAGGTGCTCATACCCTACCAGGCTGAATACGGCTGCGTAAGAAATACACTACCTGAGTTCACCTCCCCCAACTGAAGGAAGAGAAGGTGGGTGAAGAAGACGCTGCTGCACCAAGGCACTTGCTTCAGAAACCCCAGGAATACTGAGAAGTCTGCCATCTGTCAGCAGTGAGGGCCACCTAGGAAATAATAAACAGGCTGGGTGACGTGACCAGTGAGCCATCACCCAGCAGGCCTGAGATCTGCTGTTGTCTTAGTTAGTTAGTTATTTTCGGATTCTGGAGTTCCACATCAGGCCCATGGCTTTTAATCCGTGGTGGGAGGTGAGAGGTGAGAGGTGAGAACTGCTTCTAATTTTACCAGGCCAGGCTCTTATCACTGGGCTAGTTGGAACTCACGGCGCTGTGAACGGACAGGGCTGAGGGGTCTCAGAGGAAGCCAAGTATTGTTTAGAGTCAGGAATGGAGCCATACATTGTGTGGAGACTCGGTGTCACCCTCCTCTGGGTTAGTGACGCTCCCCAGAGAACGGGAAATCTCTGAAGAATCTCAAATGCAGCTTTATCTCCCTTCCTGAAACTGACCACTTGTGTACACCTTTTCTTTGCCCTGGAACATCAGGTTCATAAAACAGAGGAACAGAGAGCTGTTTCATTCCAGGGTAGAGTGTATTTATCTGGTGGTGGCTTGCCAACTTTTGGGACATTCTGGGACAATTTTATCCATTCTGATCTTCTGCGGGGGGGGGGGGCTAGCCACTCCCTGTTTTTTCTAGTATTTTTAGACCCAAGTGATGCGTATAGGCCATCTGGCAATCCCTTCTCCATCCTGTGGTCCAGAAGACGGAGACTCAGCCCACACAGGGCTGCCTCCTCTAGCTCCAAGTCTCCTGTGTTAGCATCTAAGCCTAACAGCCAGTGAGTCTCGTGTGGTCGGTGCATCTGGGAGTGCACAGTCTCTTCACACAGCTTCTTTATTTAGTTGTAGGATTTAAAGCAGGTTTTGCAGTCTTTGTGCTTGAGCAACGGTAGGAACCAACATCAAGGAAAAAGCTTGAGCCTCCTGCGGGCCGACAAGATGCTTGTTTACATTGCATGTGATGGCGCACACCTGTAATCCCAGCATGCAGAAGGCTGCAAAGAGATCACGGATGTAAAGAGAACCTGGGCTTCCTGGCTAGACCCTGGCTCAAACATAGCAAAAATTCTCTATAAATAAAAGTCACCACCTTCTTATTCTCTCTCTACTTTCAAATCATCATCTTGTCACTTTCTTTCAGAAAATGTTCATCCCATCACAACAGTTTTCTGTGGGGAGGGGATATTCAGTGGGCTTTTACTCTCCAGCCCAACTCACTGTTCTACTCTGTCTTTTGCCACCATAGTCACCACTGTTTGGTGACCTTCACACAGCATTTGTTTCTGCTGATCCCTAGCCGTGCTGTCTGCAAAACCATTGACAAAGATGTGGGATTTCACAGTAGGAACGCAGTCAAAGGAGATATAAGAAATGCATGAAGGCTTCAGCGTTATCTTTGTGCTGGAAGGGCCCAGACTGGTAGGAACACAGTGGTGGGATGAGAGGGGTAATGGTCAGAGAAAGGAATATACCAAGTCCTGGGGCTTCGGAGCTCAGACTCAGGGGATGAGGAAGGAAGGCAGAGGAGTAAGCTGGAGCCACTCCATTTGTATTTTGTTTGGATGGATTGTCTTGAGGGAGAAGGTCACATACCCCTCAGAAGCTGAGACAGCCTGTCTGTTTTGACGACCACAACTTATTGAGATTATTAATTATGCAATAACTAACAAGACCAGAGTTCCTGGTTAGGAAAAGAGGTTGAAATATGTGTGCATGCACACACACACACACACACACACACACACACACACACACACGCATTGGACCAACTCATGCGTGTACTCACAGATCAAAGCTCTGGAGGGAGAGTAAGATTCTTGTCGTTTGGGCTGATGACAGCCCAAGTGTGGATGTGTGTGTCTGTGACAGCTCTGACAAGTGTCAGCAAGGCATCCGAAGCCACACTGGCTTTGCATTTTTCATTTTGTTGCCTCTCCTTCATTTTTGTGCCGTGGTCTTGTGGACTGGACATAGCTTAGGACCCTAAGAAAGCAAAGCCACATGGGGCACTTCATCACCCAGATAGCACCATGCAAAGCAGTGGGACTGAGGCTGTTCTTATGGGTCCATTTGTCTGGGCTGCAATGTGAGAAACTAGTCAGCTGTGTTAGGTGGGAGTGTGGGTCCACTCAGGAGAGGATGTTGAGTGTTAGACAGGAATCCTAATGAACCCTGGCTCTAGTTAGCCTAGGAGAGTCTGTTCTTTCCCACGGGGCAAGCAAGTGGGGTAGTGTACTCCGGAATTGCTACAGGATTCACAGTTCTCTGTTGTCATTGCTCTTTTGTGATTTACACATGTGATTTCCACCACCACAGCTACAGAAAAAGGTGTTGAAATGCACATTCATGTGCACAGCAATAAACACTAACATAAATTGAGCATTTATTTATCAAACACCTATACCATCAGTGTTATTACTACTTTTACCAATAAGCCCAATTTACAGGTAGGAAAACTGAGGCGTGCGGGGCACCTTCACACACAGCTGGAGGTGGTGGGGTGAAGTTTCTACATCAGCTGTTGTTTGCAGCACCCATTTTCTCTCACCCAGCTTCCCACTGCCTGTGTTGTGTCACGTCCGGCTTCAGCTTTCATTTGCATCAATAATCCCAAACCATAATGACGCCATTAGGAAGCACCCAGCCTCAAGCAGGGCTCTGCCCAGCTGCACTAAAGAAGAAACTAGGTCACAAGCTATCCAGATACAAAACCAATCAACCAATGAATTTAAATTTTACTGCAAAAAAACAAAAACCAACAAACAAACAAAAAACAACTTAAACCAAAGTGTCCCTAAGACTGTGTCACTACCCTCTTCTTTGACAGGAACCATGGGCTCTTCGTCTCTGTTGAAAGGTCAAGGGTACCTGATGGATAGACTTTAATTGGAAGCCAGTGGTCTGGAAACTTCTTAAAGGGCAAAGAGGAAACTTTCCGAAAGTGACTTTGTTGCCCAGCAGCACGCTACGCCCCACAGCTGCCTTGCGGTCCCCTTTCCACAGGCTCTGATGACGCCGGGAGCGCAGCTGCCCCCTAAGAGGAAATACTTCCTAGTTTCCACCATGGGCTCCAGACTTGGATCCTGGGGAAGTTGGGCTGGAGAAAGGAAGAAGCTAAGCATGTTGAATTTGAGAAGAAGATGGAGACATCTGTGAGGGGGGTCTCGGACCTAGCTAAGCCTTGCTGGCGGGGGACCCCATCTCCTCTGCTCTGTGGGGATCCCCTGGGATGTGCCTTTCTGATGACACGAGGGATAAAGGACCCATGCACACTGAAGTGTCAAAGCCCATTTCTCATCTCTTCTGCCTCTCATTGTTGTTTTGCAAACCACACAACACAAACCGCAACTGGTATGTTTCAGCTTGCTGCTATCCCCATAAGCCCCAAAGGGCAAATGAGACATACGCATCTCTTCCCCTTCCCACTCCAGTGCCCACTCCTGCTCACCAGCCTACACTGCTGTGATTTTAGTTGGTCTATAAGAGGATTCCCACCCTCTTAGTCTCTAAGGAGCTGGGTCACTTAGCTCAGATGTAAAAGCACTGGCTGTTCCTGAGGTCCTGGGTTCAATTCCCAGCATTCACGTTGTGGCTCATAGCCATCTATAACTCCAGTACCAGGGAATTGAAAGCTCTCTCCTGGCCTCTATGGTGCATGGGTGCAGAGAAAACACCTATACACATAAAATAAAAATAAATAAATCTTGTCTGGGTGGTGCACGCCTTTAATCCTAGCAGGCAGATCTCTACGAGTTTGAGACCAGCCTGGTCTACAGAGCAAAATTCCAGAACAACCAGGACTGCACGAAGAAACACTGACTTGAAAAACAACAACAGCAACAAACAAACAAAGAAGGGAGTCCCAAAAGAACGAACCCCTTTCATCTGCAAGAAAAAAGGATGCATCAGAACCTTGCCTCCTCACAGGGGCCAGCTTGAATGTGCACCTCCTCTAAGACACCAAAGACACCCCGCAAAAATACCAGAACGCAGTGATAAGAGCTGCCATCTATGATATGCCTCCCCCAGGGCCTTTCTCTGTCTTTCTCTGCTTTCTGCTTCTAGAAGGTTCATATAGGTGTTGCAAAGGAGCCACATACCTTTCAGGTAATAGCAAAAGATCCACGTGGCAGGAGGGACACTGGCAACCCCACCTCCCTGTAGAGGGGTTGGTTGTGAAGTGTTAGTTCCTGATGCTAGAACCCTTTAGAATACGGGCTGGCAGCTGAGTTCAGGAAGGGGGGTGCAGCTCACTGTTGACTGAATTACCTACACCTTCCATGTTAGGACAGAAGCTGTTGGCTCTGCCCTTTGTTATACAAAAACCAAGATAGACAGAACAAAACGAGGAAGTCTCCGTCATATCCTGCCCCCTGTGAGGAAAATCACAAGTTAAATTCCCATAGAAAATATCCCTCCAGGGTCTTAGAAAGAGGTCAAAGGTGCCTGGAACATTATTAGAACAGGCTGCATCCGCAGAGGTTAAAAGCAGGGAATGAATGCCCAAGCTGGTCACCTGGGATTTCTGTGTGGATCAGCTGGAGATGCAGAAAGGCAGGACGGTTGTCCTGGGCCAGTCCTCTCTCTTCTATTAGAAGCTGGAAAGTGCTTGTACCCAGCTCCAACGTACTTAACCCACCTCTGCAGGAAAACACCAGTGAGGAAATGGCCTGGGAACATTGCCACAAGCACACTTAGAACAGCTGTTCGTATACAGCTTGGAAATAGTGGGGTATAAGCATTTCTCTAGTGAGGCAGAACTCCTCATGCGGCTGACTGGGAACAGAAGAGAGGCTAGCGGTGGAGAAACCACTCCTCTCCTGAGTTTGTTATATCAAGTGTGTCCTTCCTCTCCACGTCTGTCCAGTCATTTGTGTCAGACAAACTTCAACCCTCATCCTTGCTTCTCCAGGCTTCTCTCTTAATCTCTCCCCTGAGCAGGGAGGCAAACCTGTCCATAACATGCACTGTCTGTGCACATGGCATCCTATAAGCCTCTTTTCTGTTAGTCAGCACTCTTTC